GCCACCTTAGGTGTACGTGGCTGGCGCCCTAGCCAGTTGAGCTATAGGCGCCAAGCCTTTTCACCAAATTTTTATTTGTATTATCCATTTGGCCCTACAACTACCCCAGAAAATAGACACTATTGTGTCTTCTTTTTTATTGATGATGAGGCCCAAAACAGGTCATTCATTTGGTCAAGGTAACACAGCTGGTAGAACCAGGATTTGAACTCAAGCAGTCAGCCCCTACTGTCTATACCAGCGGTTCTTAACCTATGGGTCGTGACCCCTTTTTAACAATGCGGCATTAGGAAGGTTGAGAACCACTGGTCTATCCCCTTAGTAGAGTATACCCCACCTCTTTCTCCAGTGCTGTGTCCTCTTCCTCTATTTGGTTTGATGTGATAGCTTATGGATTTTCCAGTTTCTTCTGTCTACCTTCCCCTATCACTATCACCCCTCCAGTTCTTCTTCTCCCTAATCAAAATGAATAATCTTAAATATAAACTTGACTGTATTACTGTGTGTGTCAAATTAGATTGGTCGCATATAGGAAACCCAAAATAACTTTGGCATAAACACAAAAGGTATTATTTCATGTAAAAGCAGTGTAGGGCTAGAAAGGTAGATTCTTGGTGTCCTCAGTGACATAAGCTCTTCGATCATTAGTGACCCACATTCTCAGCATGGATTTTCATCCTGAGGTCACCTATAAACCAAACCTGTCAACTAGAGCTTCCATTATCATACCACATTCCACCACAGAATTTAGGCCCTAAGGATATAAGAGCCTCCTTCCACCTGAGTGAGCTCTTGCTAAGCAGCCTTCTTAGAAGTTCCACAGCACCCTTCTGCTTACTTATGAGAGCTTAATTTCATGACCATACCTAGCTTCAAGGGAATCTGGGAAATGTCACTTTTATCTAGACACATTGCCACCTCAAACAAAACCAGGGTTCTGTGAGGAAGGAAGAAGAAGTGGGTGTTGGGTGGGAATCAGCAGCACTCAGCACATTTTAGCATGGCTGCCAGACTGCAGCTCCACACAGCTCAAGATCCTGTCCTCAACATGTAGTGTGAGGCCTGGTAGGGAGAATAAATAAATTTTCTATAGGATAAAATCAGGATTCTGTAGCATGGTATTTAAGGGCTTTCACAACCTGGCCATGGAGAACTCTCACCTCACTTGTTACCTCTCGCTGTTGTAGCACTTACTTTCTGCTACAGGCATTTACAGAGAATCCTTTGACATTCTCTGAAGGTGGGGCTGTGTCTGTGCACACAGTGGCGTTCCCTCTGCTGGATGTTATCCCTCTTGTGAGATCTATTCCTTCACATTGTTCATCCTAATAAAATTGCTCACCCAACTTGGTAAACTTTTAGCTACTTCTTTAACATTTTATTTTATCAACAATAACTACAGAACAAATATTTACAGTGTGCCTGTACTGAGCTAATTATTTTCATAGGTTTTTAAGGAAGGGAGTGACAAGATATTTTTAAAGTATCTAATGAGTATGAATCTGGCAGGACTATGAAGAGTGGCTTCTGGATGGGATAAGAAAGGTGGCTGAGAAGGTGTCTCTTAGGGATTCAGGCCTGAAATGAGAAGAGTATGGACATGTCAGAGGAAGAAATTAATGATCAGCTGGACATGGGATGAAGGAGAAGCTAGTGAGAGATGCCACCAACGTCATCATTCAGACTGTGGAGACGTGCACAGTGACAGGAAATGTGGCAGAGTTGCTTTGTGTGTGTGTGAAGAGAGGTGTCTAGTTATGGTTGTGGACATATTGAGCTTGTTATAAAACTAGAACACCAAAATAGAAATAATGTGTAATATCTTTTCTCTTTAATAAACTACTTTTGAAGATACTGTAAGAAAATAACACTATTGTTGTTGAAAGAGTTGGTGTTCAATGCCGTGTGCTTGGTTAGCAGTCTGGCATGTGGTAGAGTTACTTTCATTACTTAATAATAATCATCACTGCTTAAAGCTGGACAACAGGACATGGGCATTGTTGCAAAGATAGATTCAGCTTAGTTAGGATAGATTTCTTCAGTCTACTGTAGGCAAGTTATGAGTTTCTTCATGTATAAGCTGGGGATGATATGTACATGATAGACCTTATTTATGCCGTCACTCTAGACTAAATGAAATTCTAGCTGGGGATGATATGTATGTGATAGACCTTATTTATGCCGTTACTGTAGGACTAAATGAAATTCTACAAGTAGAGCACAGGACATGGAGCTCAGCATCTAGTGAGAGTAATGATGGCACACAATTTCTAAAACAAATATCAAAGAGATGCTTCCTGTTCTTAGTGTATTTCTACAAATACCATCGGGAAAAAGGAGCCCCTGTCTTAGATAGTTGGGTTTTGGGCTGACTGTGACAAGAAAAATAATTCACTTCAGAAATGGGTCTGTGTTTGATTACAATAAGCTGCTGTATTGTAAAAAGAAAGCATATACTATGTTAGCAAGTGATTTAGTCTATGGCATACAGTTTGATGTTGGTTATCTCTTTTGGATATTTTAGGGTAAAATGATGGCATGCAAACACTGCAGTGACATTTTCAGTAAGGAGGGCACTTTGAAACTAGCAACCATAAGCAGAGAGGACCAGGGAATTGAAATGGATGATGAGAAGGACTCGCTTAAGAAGCAGCTGAGGGAGATGGAGCTGGAACTGGCACAAACCAAACTGCAGCTGGTGGAAGCCAAGTGTAAAATCCAGGTTGGTGATTTCATAAAGGAACATCAAGAAAAATTAAATAGTTAATGGTCCAGGATACTCTAGTAATTTAGAATATGCTTGCCTAGGTGAGAATCATAAGATGTTACCGTGTGTGATGAATACATTTTTTGTCCTGCATGATCACTCTTTCATGTATTTTTAGTACTGATACAAAAAATACATGATTTTAAATATAATTTTAGCAATTAAAATTATATCTTGTGAGACTTTAGGCATATTCCTTTTCAGTTGACAGTGATATTTTGTGCTAAGGTCCATTCTCATTGAATTTAGTCACTTTGGTTGCTGATCCTAAAAATGAAAGACCAAACCCCTTGTGCTGTCCCTACCCTGACAGCTGAACGTTAGCCAACACCCATTCTTTTCTTTGGAGCTTCAAATTTTTTGAAAAATTTTTTTATTGATACAGAGTCTCATTTTGTTGCCCTTGGTAGAGTGCTGTGGCATCATAGCTCACAGCAACCTTAAACCCTTGGGCTCAAGTGATTCTCTTGTCTTAGCCTCACAAGTAGCTGGAACTACAAGTGCCCGCCACAGTGCTTGGCTATTTTTTTTTGTTGTTGTTGTTGTTTTATGTTTAGGAGGCCCAGGCTGGGTTCAAACCCACCAGCCTCAGGGCATGTGGCCATGCCCTAACCATTGAGCTATGGGCACAAGCTCTTTGGAGCTTTTTATTATTTGCTGATTTTGCCAAATCCCTTTCCCTATTGGAGGATAATAGTTAGAAAAATAGTCCTGGCTTCTGATGGACTCTTTTCCATTTCTTTCCACCAAGTGTAGAAAGATCCTCATCCACAGCCGTGTCCTGCCATGGCACCAACTCAGATCACACTTGCCATCCTCAGCCACACATCTTCTGTGGACCTTGTGTCTTCTCTAGGGTAAAGGTCTTGTCTTTGGAACTGGTACTCACTCATATTCACATTATCAGTA